TCCCCTAGTTTCTCTTCATTTGGATTCCTTAACAATGTTCCAGATTTGAGCTTTTCCCCTTCACACCTCTTCGTCTGATTTCGTTGTAAAGTCCTATCCTTTTGACCTCTTTGAAGACATTATTCCCTGATTTTTATCGAGAGTTTTCTTAGGTGACTTCGGTCATTTGAGATATAATTAACTATAGGGGTTTGCCCTTATAGGGAGCTTTTCCGAACCCAGCTTAAAATAAACCCTATTTAATTCTTTGTATTAAATAGGGGAACTTGTCGGCAAATAAAAATGGTTTCGCAGACCCAAACGGATGTCATATCTTTCTTAGTTTATTTGATTGAGCCTCACCCTCAAGTCTTGTGTTTATCCCTCAGGATTTGAGGTAGAGCGCTCTTTCATTTAAACTGTGAAAAATATGAGGTCAGTTTGATTCCATATTTTTCTAAAATTATATATATATATGTAAATTAAAAAAGTCCTTCCGAAGCGGGCGACGGGATTTCGATTCCGGCGGCCGACAGCTTCTTACGGGCGACCCCCAAACGCAACTTCCCCCTTTTAAACGCCGACAGGCAGGAAGCTGTCCTTTTATAGGGAAATCACAATATTATGAATTTAAAATATTAAATAAAGCTAATAATTTAAATTCATTAACGGCTGCAAAACTAAGGCTAAGGAATCTTACAAATCAAAACAAAAATATAAGGAAGATTTACGTACATATACCACTCAATTCATTTGTATTTACATAGCTAAAACCTAAACTTCATTTTTTAAATACATGCTGTCTTATCTATGCATGAAAAGATATATTTAGCTTTTTACAAGTTAATATGGTGATATAAATGAAAAAAAGTAAAGATGTTAGATATGTAAATACATAAGAATTGGGTGGTATTTATGTAAACGCCCCAAGATATAACAGAACTACATACTCTTGATGATTTTCTCTTTTTTGAAATAGCCCAGTTCTGTAGGTTGAGAAAGGTAAAAAGGATATAAGTTCATCCGAAAGTCCTCTGCTTTTAGTGCCTATAGCTTCACCCAATGATTGCAATTGCTAGCAAAGAAGAGGACAAGGGCTCGGATTATAGAAGCAATTATGCACAACTCAATTATCAAATAGACCAGATCAATAACAAAGACAAACATCTCTCATACATTAAAAAATGAATTACTGCAAGGAAGAAAAATACCCGCTTCCATAAGATTGTTAAAATGGAAAAACATTGACTACATACAAAAGCTTGGAATTTCTTCTCTCTGAAAGGGCATGTAAAAATTTTTAACAATACAACAGCAATGAAATTCGATGCAGTGGTAGTGGCTATGTAACTATACAATAGCTCGTATGTTCCTCAATTTCTTTCCTATTTAAGTTGTGAATCATAAGGAATACTTGTCTACCTGATATGACATAGAACTCTTTGTTTGCTAAACTAGATTTGAATTTATCACTTTAGACAAACATCTAGCCTAGGTATACGATGTTCCCTTGAATGAAGCAACCCAAAAATGCTTACAGGGATTATTTTGTCAGGTTAGGTCGACTATCTAAATCTAAACTCACTACGATCAATTTCTACAATCCAAAACTTAAATTGATACTTCCGCTAGTGATAAACGTCCTAATGAATAGTTTTAATCGAAAGTGCTCTCTCATTATCAGGAGAAGTAATTAACGATAATGGCTTGCATCTATGTGAAAAGTCCTTGAAAAAATAAGAGCAATATCTCTGGGCGGGATTTGATACAATCTCATATGCCAATTTGAAATTTTGATTTGGAATCTCTAAGTAAAACTCTCTCATCATTATTTTGAGGGGGCTGGGGCACGAATTTGGGAGCCCATAATGGCAAATCCTTTACCAACCATAGTGATTTGATGGTTCCATTTTGCCATCCTTTTATTGGGCCATATCATGGCATGGGTCATGCCCCAACTAACCATAACACGCATAAAACAAACCCTAATTAGTCCTTACTCTTTTATCCCTCAGATAATTTAAAATTAATCTTAAGAGATTTTAAAAATTCAAAATATTTACTGGAATTATGAAGAATTTTGAAAATATGAAATTTCCATGCAATATATGTGAAACTCGTATTAAATTTGAAATAAACACGTGGTACCTTAGAATATAATGGTCAACTTGGAACGAATTATCCCATAAAGTTCCTATCCAATTGATGTAGAGCATTCTATGCTCTAGAGTTTTTACAAAAAATCTAATATGCAGAATACCTCTTTATTAAATAAGAAGAGATCTGATGCTTACGTTAGACAACATGCAAACAAATAAATGCAGGAATAAACATGTAAATCACCCATGGAAGCAAACAATTTAACTCAGACAATTTATTTATTTCTAAAGATGATGATATAAAGAAAGTAGAATTTCATTTCAAGTGAAAAACCTTTGATTTTCTGATGAAAGCAACTTCAAGAAATAAAAATCATGGGATTATGCAGGTAAATTAATCTAAATATGTAATAAAACCACAAATAGATCAATCAGACTGTCAATCAATCATTTATGAACACTTAAATTAGGTATTATAGATAAAGAATAAGAATTTAAAAGTATGACCAGGCTGCAGCCAACTCTTAAGCTCGATAACCATTAATCACAACTAAGAATGCTAATAGAACAGGGACAATATCCCAACAAAAAGTTTCCAAGTCATGAATAAGGAGTAATGGACAAGGAGAATATATAGATAAGAATCATCAAACGTTGTTACAGTACAGAAAAAAAGGGAAATTTACATAGAAACCACACAATTCTAATGTTATTTACATATCTAACACCCAAAGTTTGATATTTACACTTGTAAAATCTTGGTGTCATAAACATGTGCATGAAAATGTGTATTTTACTTAATAAAAATTTTGATGTGCCCACCCCACACACAAAAAAAGAAAAAAGAAACAAGTTATAGATAAGAAACAAGAGTTCCAAACTAGAAGAATCACAGTTTGCCCTAAATCCCATTAATCTAACGGACGCGGATAAGTAGATATGATCTAATTAACGATGTGTTTCCACCCAAGATAACAATCTACAAGAGAAGCAATCCAATCACCTAAAATATGAATTTAACATGCATATATAGAAAATAACGCACGCAATTAATGAAACCGAATTACAGAGTCCATCTCAAATTCAGAATAATAATCTGACAAACTTTGGATGATGAAATTTTGACAAGGTTAACTACTCCTCTCACGAGCCTTAAATACAAAATAGTCCTTTCAAAGAATATAAACCAAGCGATCTTCTAAATCTTGCACGCTTTCCAAATTCAAGGAGGTAATTAATAGTAAAATCTCATGTCCGATGGAAGTTGAACTCTAAATATAAAGCCAAAATCAAGTATTAGGGGAAATCCAATTAACTAAATCCATTCCAGTGTCTTGTTCATCATGCAAATTATTGCTTTAAAGCTCAGCTAGAATCAAGTATTAGATCTAAAGTAATGCATTTCAAAGCAGCTGAATTAATAGCAGATGATTTTTAACCCTTCTTCCGAATCCTACGGATGAGATGTCATTATCACAAATTCTAAATAGCTTTCTGAGTTTTACCATCTATGAAAGCTCAAGTTAATAGAATATTTAGTTGATTTCGACATAAGTTTCCCGAGTCAAAATGGTCAAATGCAACGTCGATACAGGAGGTAGTGTCACCTAAGATGAATTTGAGTTGCATCAATCACAAATGAAATCAGAGGCTTTGATTGCAGTCAAAATTACACGTATTTCGTCTATCAGTAAAATGGATTGTGTCAATGTATCCTTAGCAAACACGATAAAAAAGATAGATTGCAGAGGGGACGGCTGTCGTTTAGACCCTAATCGCTTTGACAACCATCGAAATTGCTTAAATGAACTCCGCTCGAAAAACAAATTGCAAAAGCTCGTTTTGAAATGGATTTAAGGTTGCTCAAAATCAGCAAGAGGAAGTTAGGGTTAGCTCATAGTTTAGCTACGGTTTAAAAATATGAAAGAAAATTTTTGGTGGAGGTGGATTGGGTAGGGGCAGATGTAAGGAAACCCTAGGATAGTACCAAATGAAGTTAGGATTGAGACATAGGCTCCATCGACTTTCCCCACTGGATAGGATACCAAATGAAGTTAGGGAAGATAAGTATCCACGCGGGATAGAACTATGGATAGGCATTTATTATTCATCATTGAAATCCTCCCTATGAAGAGGTTTACATTCTCGTCTCTTCCGCCTCTTCGACTTTCCGGGCCACAATTGAGGGTAAGTTCTCCCTGGGTTTCATCCTAAATATCTGCAATCCTCCGCTAAAGTCAACAAATATCTTGTTGTATCTCTTTCCGGGTAGGTTCGGCATGTATCGCCTTGGTGGCATGACAACAGTTTAGAGTTGAGAGGTGAAAGAGGGTAAAAAAAAAAAAAGATTAATGGTTGCTGATTTTGAAAACCATCAAGTGTAAATTAGGGTCAAATCAAAGTTTAGCCATGATTTGAAAATTGAAAAGAAAATTTTTGGTAGGTGGCTTGAGTAGGGGCAGATGATAGAACACCCTAGGATAAGACTAGGGTTACGCTAGTTTAACCCTAGTATAAACCCTACGATTTGGAAATAGGAAAGAAAAGTTTTGGTGGAGATGGCTTGGGTAGGGGCGGATGCTAGGAAACCCTAAGATAAAATTAGGGTTAGACTTAGCTCTAATACTAGAGTTAACAAAAACCACAATAGAAATGTGAATATTAATGCTAAAATTCGAAAGGGTTGCAAATAAAGACTCCTGACAATTTGGAAATAATGACACAAAACATAAAAAGACGCCCTAGGGCAATGACGAAGGTGCGAAATGGTTGTTGGACAGCAAGTAGAGGGGTTGGCTGGGGGTTGTGGACGTCGCTAAAGACCTGGAATGATGTGGCTGCAGCACTAGGCGACAGGGGAGGGGGGGGGCCAGCCGCAGAAAAACAGAGAAGGGGGTGGTGTCAGCGGGTGGCTGTGAGGCTAGAGGACATGTCGCAACAGACTGGAAGGGAGGAGATGCCTTGTCGTCGCAGGTGTGGGTGATGGAGGAGGGCTCACAACAGCAAGAAGTGTGTAATAGGGCTGGCGGCGGGGAAACAGACGAAGGGAAACTGCAAAGGGGAGTTGGGGAAGATAAGTATTCCCGTGAGATCAAGTTACAACCGAAGCACCCCTCGAACAGTTGGAGAAGATCACCACCTCAGGCGAGTTACAACTGGAGTACCGCCTCGCCTTTAGATACAACCCTAGAAGGGAAAACATCCCTGATAGCTGGCTTGGACAGAAATCTGAAATATGGAATTAACCAAAACAATCAAACACGATGAAAAAGATAGATTGCTGACAGGACGAGTGTCGCCCCTAATCACTTTGTTGCTCAAATGAGCTCCCGTCGTAAAATAAATTGCAAAAGCGTGCCAGAAGCATCAAAATTACCTAAAAATGACACCCATATTGTATAGTCCACACTCGCAATATAATGACACAAAATTCAAGACTAATGCGAATTTGAAATGCATGTGGAACAAGAAGTGCATGAGAATGATTCACACAACATATATAAAAATCTTAAAATGTTTATTATATGAATAAAATATTTTTTCAAGTTGTAGTGAAGTATGATGCTTATGTATTAACGACATAACCTCAATAGGTAACTGAAGTAAAAGATAATTAAACCAAATATCAAACCTGGGGTTCACAAAATATAAGACTTAAATCAAAAGTCAAACTGAATAGGGCTACCTAGGAATAAGTAAAAATTGAAATAAACTTTACTAAGTGAACCACAGTTACGATTTCCTTAAAAAATTTATGCTTAATTTTGTGGAAGAGAAACACACCTCATAAGTCATATTATCCGGGTCAACATCATCTTGTATCGTAATCTAAGCAGAATTTGATATACCATTAGTTTCTTAGTCTGAATGCCTCAATAGTAAAAGAATGAATAGTTGATTAATCTTAATTACCTGACTTGTTGCGCTACGAGCAGAATTCCCTCGACTGCTTGCCGTGGAAGATTCGGCGCGTGTAATGCCTTCGAAGAATTGTACCCCAAAAAAAGATTAAAAAAATAGAAAAAAAGAATCAGCTTTGTCAAAAATAAAAGACAGGTTTAATTTAAGCATGTATAACTACAATCTTTCTCGACCAGATGGCCTTAAATTGAGAAATATAATGTCAAATAAGCACATACATTCATTTTTCATATAACCATGAAGAGAGATAGACCTACCAGTTCCTGTTCCATAATTGCCATCTATGGAAGTAGAAGAAAGGTGAAGCTCCAACTCCTGCAATTCTCTTGCAAAAGCTTCATCCATGGCTAACTGAGACTCGGCATTTTCAATTTGAGAAACATTTGCATGCCTTTGTTGTCTACCAGCAGGACCTCCCCCGGGAGTATTGTTTGAAGACCTGGTTGTATCAATCTGGGCATTTCTTTGCAGCGACTGGTAGACAGTTTCCTGCCAAATTTGTGTTGAGTTTCAAAGATATCCAGTTATTGATTCAAACCAATCAATACGATGCAAGTAAGAACATGATTTTAGTATATCATTCTGCACAAGTAAAAAAACATTCAAAATGGTTAAGCAAAGCTAGAAAAGTGCAGGATGACAACGAGGACATTTTGCTGCAAAGCCAGGCTTACTGAAGGAGGATAGTTTAGAGTCTAAGGTTCACTAATGCAACATGGTATGAGATGCACAACAAAAATTCAAAATAATAATAATAATTATTATTATTATTATGTTACCAATTCTCAATTTTAACAAAAATTAATCATCTTTAATATGAACATAGCAAAGATACTTATTTCATTCTAAATAATAATCAAACAATCACCAAAATCTGAAATCTCACAAAAATAATTGGTAACATGTATTAAATTCCAACAACCATCAGAACAATCACTAACAAAAATTCAATCAAGCATACACAAGAATCACAAAACAAATTAGCAGCGAGAACAATGATAGAAATCAACTATTGTCAACTCCTACAAAGCACTCAAAAAATTCACTTATAACAGCACACATAAAATAATTGGAAAAAAGAAAAACATAAAATTTATTTCACTAATCAATGTTCTATTCATTTTAAATGCCTCAGGAATCCTATTGATAACCAAAGAAAGACAAAATAAAAACATTCCATAAATCATCTAAGGAATAGGGGAAAAAACAACTACACATTTTCCAAAATAACGCAAAAAACACACTACTATAAAGTTGGGCTAAGAGAGCAACAACAACAACAACAACAACAACAACAACAACAACAAAGCCTTAATCCCACTACGTGAGACCGGCTACATGAATCATTTTTCTCCATTGTGTCCTATTTAGTGTCGTATGTTCATTTAATTCTAATAAATTAAGATCATTTTTTATACAATAAGCCCAAGTCTTCCTAGGTCTACCTTTGTCTTTCTTAACTTATGTCGAATCTAAAACATCTACACTTAACTTAGTATTATGCTTCTCTTTTAAAGGCCAACATTCAACGTCATAGAGCATTCCAGGTCTCACCACCGTCATATAAAATTTTTCTTTCAGTCTAAGTGGTACTTTTCTATCATACAAAAGGCCTGAAGCATTCCTCCACTTCAACCAACCAACTTGAATTCTACTATTAACATTCCCATCTATATCACTATCGCTTTGAACAACAGAACCAAGATATCTAAATCATTCACACATTTTAATTATTTGATCACCCAAAGTTACACTTCTGTCACTAGAGCTACTACTACTAAAATTACATTCCATGTATTCAGTCTAGGATAATAAACAAGAGATATTGTTGATGTAATTCATCAAAATTGTATTTTAGCTTACATATTTGATTCATCAACCACATCAAATATGATTGATCCGTTATGACTATTTGATAAATTACAATCTAGGATAATAAACAAGAGATATCGTTGATGTTGTGAAATTTTGGGCGAAACAACACAAATCCAGAAGAAGAACACAGAGATTTAACAGATTCAGCAAAGATGCCTACGGCCTTGAGAGCGAGCGGAGAATTTCACTATTTCAGAGGAGTTTAGTACATACCCATAGGATTACACATCATATATATAGATAAAACCCACAGATAAAATTACTAACATGCCCTCACACCCCCAAACCAACTTATCCAAGAGACACACATTTTCACACCAAGAGACACTCATTTTTATTCCAGGAGACACGCCTATCAATTTCAATATACTCCAAATTTCCTGGTATATGAGTCATACCTAACAGTTGATGTAGTTTTAAATTCAATAACATAAAATGTAAAATCATATTGTAACTACAAGCATTTTTGTATCCAAAACATCTTCAAGAGAATATTCATGAATAATTAGTTCTCCAATGGGACCAAATTCAAGTTACACGATTCTGGCGTTGATGTTATTGTTATAAGCTTCATAGAATATGACAATACTTTTTTTTTCAGAGACATGAATAATAGGTCTAATAGTTTGATTGAAACGATAATAATACTATTCAACATCCTAAATCATGTCTAAAACTTCATGCAATATTTTTAGTGACTTGTATCCCAATTCATTCTTAATTTCTCACTTAAGACCTAGTAAAATAAATAATAATAACAAGATAATCTAAAGGCAAATAATACTCAACCACCACTTGTAAACCTTAATTAATACTCAAATATCATAGTTGCCTTATTTACAATTCTTAAATTAATCCCATAGTTGATTCCTATATTGACCAAATGATAAGTTATACTATGTTTCATATCAAACAAATACCTAGTAGGAACACCTCACCATAATGATTGAGCATGTTCCACTAAATTTGCTGTTGCACTTAACTCATTAGTTCTAGGTTATCAACTCATATGTCTCATCCATTATATTATGAATAAAATCTATGACTGGCTTTTTTCTCTGTATCAACCATTCTTAAAAATAAACTAAGAGCTTAGTAATTATGATAGCATAGCCATACTCAACAAAGTCCCTCAAAACAATATTGCTGACTTCTAAACCAAAACAAATTTTAACAATTGTGCATAGGTGAACATATCCTCCAAAAGATTTCATGCTAGTAGTATGCTTTGGAGCGTCAAGCATGTGGTTCCTATTCTCAATTTGTTTTGTTTTAAGTATGAACGTAAGGAAATAAAAATAAGATTTATTTTATATATTTAATTTTTATATTAAAAATTTTAATTAATTAAAATCTAGCTTTTGATATATACAACCTTATAAATTCTGTAGAGGGGTGCCTGTATAATGACTCATGGTGCTTTTTGCAAAGTTGTGCTGAAGCACACCTCATTATGCATCAGTTAATGTGAAATTTTAAGCAAAGCATCTTTTTAACAAATTTATTGAATTATTCATGCAACTTCATTCTTTTCATAAAATATCTCTTTGCAAATTTCCATGTCAAGAAAATAAGAGTCACAAATAAAATCAATTTCAATCTATTTGGTACTGATAATTCCATTAGAATTTTTAATAAGTATATAAGTTCGTGTACATCAACCTTTCTCCAAACCTTGCAATGTTGACAGCTTCATCGAATAATTACACCCTTTCTATCAATGTAAATTCCCATTGAGCTCAATATAGTTCCACCCCTACTCATTTCTTTAGTGTGGTCAATCTCACAATCTATGCACTTGGTCGTTTCATGATCATTGTGGAGTTAGGATAAAATAAAACAAGAAAATACCAAGTTGACTCCATTTGTAACAACGATTTTAAATCTACACTCAACATAAAGTACTTTATGCTTACTTGAATTATGACATGTTCATAATCTATTTTAGAAAATAAATTCAAACTGATAATGTGGACAACCTGCTCCTGAAGAAGTTGTGCAATCGTGAGTTCATCATGGCCTTGGAAGTATCCTTCGAAATTTTCTTCCACTGAATGTGGCGCAGGGGCATGGACATAATAAATGTCCATTTTCTGCTTTCCACCAGTCTGAAGTTCCACTCCCATTATAGCCTACAAAATTCAAATTTGGTAAGCCATAAATAATTGAAGCAACAGCATAATCGTGCACGGAGACAAAAGGAAACAAATTAGAAATAAAGTATGTAATTCCAAACACCCATAAAGCCAGTAATTCTTATGTATTTATATATCTCACACAAAAACTTTCGTATTTACACATATAGCACTCAAATCTTAATATCACATAAAAAATAACACAATTATCATTGTTAACTTTTTAGGCTAGAGCTCCATACATTCATTGATAAGAAAGAGGTGTATAAATACTTACAAGACCCAAATTGAATCATAGATGATGTCTATTATGTTCAACTTGGATTTGAAGTCGTCAAACAATAATTGCGGAAAATTTTTGGTAAGGATATCTACTAATTAACCATTAGATGTAACAAATGAAAGACAAATCTCCCCCAAATCAAGCTTTTTTCCTTAATGAAGTGTCGCTCAATCTCTGCATGTTTGGCGCGATCATACAGGACCAGATTATGATGATACTAATTACAACTTTATTATCACAGAACAATTGGATAGGAGCAGAGACCGACAAATGTAATACACGGAGCATGACGCGTAACCAGAGAGTTTCACAGATACCCAAGGACATAAGAGCGAAACTTGGCTTTAGCACTGCTCCGGGCCACAACTAATTATTTTTTGTTTTTCCACCTGGCAAGATTTCCCCACGCGAATGAGCAATATCCTAAGGTTGATTTTCGATTATGGATGGACCTAGCTCAATCTGCATCCATATAAACGGCAATAGAACAAGAAGCGTGAAACGAAAAAAGTAGAACTAAGCCCGATGTGCCTTTTAATTAGTGAAGGATCCTGTGGACAACTCTGAAATGGTACTCATAGAGAACATGTATAAATTGACTCACAATACCTATTGCGTCGTAAATGTCGAAGCGAGTATGGGAGAGGTAAATGAGTTTTCCCACAAGAGGTTGATAGTTGGGTCTTATTCACTGGAATAGCATTGGGATAATCAACTAATTTCTCATTGGGATCCCATGGAACTGTCATTGGTTTGCATAGGCACAGGTTATTCTCTGTCAATAGATCAAGCACATATGTGCGCTAAGACGGGCAAATGCCTTGAGATGATCGAGTAACTTCCATGCCTAAGACGTACCAGAGTGATCATAAGTCTTTCATTTCAAACGAAGTAGCAAGAATACATTTCAGAAACTCTAATGTTGGTAAATTATCGCCTATGAGCACAATATCGTAAACATAGACGATGAGGATAGCAATTTTTTCATTGGGGAAATGCAAAAAGAAGAGACTATGATCTGATTGGAACTGAGAAAAGCCATGACCCCCATTACTACCTTAGTGAACTTACCGAACCAGGCCTTCGAGGATTGCTTCAGTCCATAGAGAGACTTCTGCAGTCTGCACACTTGTCCTCGAGAGAAAGTAGATTCAAAGTCTGGGGGGTGGCACATGTACACCACAGGGAATGCAATGATGTTCAACTAATTGACAAGTCTCACATTTAAAGCTAGTCAGATTTTTATTAGTAAATATCGACAGATACAAATGTTTTAAATATTGAAAATTGAGATGACCCAAATGATAATGCAACAACATAATCGAACATCAAGTGGACCGAGCAAGGCTGCAACTACTGGAGAAGTGTCCTCATTCTCCATGTCTTTCTCTTGAAAAAGGTAGAGCCCGACTATTCGCTTAGAAATTCCAATTATCATCCCCGAACGACGATCCAGAAAGGCACAAACATCAGAAGAAAAATGAGCAGGACAATCCATGTCATATGTCAGCTTACTAACATATAACATGTTACATTTCAATAGGGGAACATACAACACATATTCCAAAGTTAGACCGGTAGTTAATACAACTGATCTTTTACCAACAATAGAGTTACATGAGTTGTCAGCAATTTTAACTGTATCTTTTCCAGAGCAAAGATAAGATGTCAAGAAAGCTTGATAACATCGAGACAAGTGATTTGTGACACCTGAATCAATAATCCCAGCACTGAAAGAGACAAAAGAAGTAAGAGTCATAGGAATGGTACCTTGACGAATGTGGGAGGTCGATGGACCAAAATAGAATTGGCTGATCCAAATAGTTTGATTAATTGCTCCATCTGACTTTGAGAGAGTGTTTCGAGTGAAGGTAGTTTGAACGGAAGTAGATTCAGATGTCGTAGTATGACCCTTAACAGAGGAAAATTTGGCTGACGGCTTGTGCACTGGTTTCCCATAAAGTTTCCAACATTTGTCCCGGGTAAGGTTGGGTTTGTGACAGCAATCACAAGTGAAACTGGTGGCTCAAGATGGCATGAACTACTGTTGAGTGCTATTAGTGACCAAGGCAGATGATTCAAATGAAGTGGAAGTGCTGAGCATGACAATTCTCCAACTCTACTCACGTTGAATCTCTGTGAAAGCAACACGAGTAGAATGAAGAGGATCCCAGAAAAGGATACAACTCCAAACTTCATCAAAATCTTTGTTAAGGCCCACAAGAAATTTAAACATGAGATCTTTTTCTATATTTTTCTAAATAAGAGAAATGTCTGTCAGAGATTCCCACGTGTAATCATAGTAGAGACCGCATTTTCATCCATCAGGCCACCAAATTATTGTAGATCACAGTCCTTCATCCATATATTGCCAAGAGGATCTTAGAAACCTCAAAAAGTTGGCTGGAGTTCCCTACATCATAGTAGATATCTCGAACTGCAATCCATAGGGCAGTAACAACAGGAATAAACATATATTAACGACCAATTGTAGTCTCCATGGAATCAATCAGCCCCGACATGATCATAGAATTCTGCACTTCTCACGTTTCAAACGTTGGGTTAGTTTTAGGAGGTTCACGAATCATTTTGGTGAGATAGCTAAATTTCCTACGTCTTTTGACGAACAAAGACACAGCTTGAACCATTGGAGAAATTATATCCATTCAGTTTTTGGGTGGTGATTTGGAAGTTTATGTGGCTTTCTGATCCTTCGGTCTGCGAAGGGATTGAGATCGATGTCGACCCTCCTGCGGACTCAAGTACATAATTGGGAGAGGGCTTAGTGGTGGAAGAGTTTGCCATGGTTCCAACTGAGCCAAATATGATGTTGAGGTGACGAGACATTGGAAGATCTCTGATCAAGGATAGAAAAAGGATATCCGGCGACTGAACAAATCCCAGATTGCACTAGATGGAACAGACAGGTTCGCTGGAGGAAGCTTAGGTCGGTTGCAAGGGATTCCAATAGCTGGAAGGGGATTCAGGCGTCTGGAAACCACCGCCAGTCAATCCAACAACTCGTTGGAGGGAGCTCCAGTTAGTTGGAATGGGATACTGGCAACTGGAACCAAGCGCCAATCCGTCCAACAACTTGCTTTTGTCTTATTCTAGCAAAAACCCCCGATAAAAGAAGGGTGGTCGGAAGTCATGACGGGATACATCGACGGGATTTCGACAGGAAGGAAGCTCTAAGGTTAAAACCATGACTTTGATACCATGCTAACTTTTGAGAGTAGAGCTCCATACATTCATCGATAAGAAAGAGGTGTGTAAATACACATTACAAGACCCACATAAGAGAAAATACTTAAATTCAGAAATACATAAAGATGAAAATGGATGTAAATAAAGAAAGCAAATAAAACCTAATTATAACTGCAGCATTAATTAGGCTAATAATTCTAATAATCATTTTTTAAAGGTGAATACACATTTTCATGCATAAGTTTGAGGCACCAAAGTGCTATGAATGTAAATATGAAAGTTTAGGTGTGAGATATGTAAAAACATAAGACTTGGGTGTTACGTATTAAATTTCCCTAAATTTAACTATTCTCGTATGCATTTTCCCCTTTCAGAACTAGACAGACAAAAAAATCATGATAAAGATAAATATTGCAACTTATAATGCACACAAACAAAAAAAAAAATCAAGTGTTCAAACTAAAAGTATAAACAACAAATAATGTTTGTCAACAAAAATCATCATAGTGGCTTTCCCAACGGACTTCTTCAACATCAGCACCATGGCTACTTTTAGAGCCGTCCGATATCTTCCAAACTTATTGCGCCACTTTGTCTTCTACAGACACCTTTAAGGTGATTATCACTTTGATTTTTACCGAGAAACAATAGCAACATTAAGTATGGCTTCTATCATACACACTTTATCCTTTTGGAAATAACCTATATAAGAACCAATAACAAAAATTTAACAAGATAGAAGCAATTTGAAGCTTTCTTTTTCTCTTCAAGCTCCTATGGATATAAAGAGCAAGAACTATGGGTGGGTGGGTCGGTCAAGAGTGCAATATGAAAATACAAAGCAAAAGAGAGCGCAATGATGAACATTTCAAGAATGCAAATTGGAAGATTTACATACATACCACTTAATTCTTCTGTATTTAAAATTTTACATGTCTAACACCAAAACTTTAATTTTTACAAAGGAGCCACCTTACCCATACATCAAAAGATGCATTTCACATTATAAAAATTAGAATAGTTGTACTTTTGATGTGATAAGAAATATTTGGGTGGTATAAATCTACAAAGTAAACTTTAGGTGTTAGATATTCAAACGTGTAGGAAATGAGTGGTACCTAGGTAAATGCCCCTGTAAAAATACAATACAGACAATGAAAGTTGATATGCTGCACAACATAGCACAAACAAATGTTGCATTGGTTTACAATACCATTGAGTTCATACCAGCTCTTAACCAAAAGTTAAAACACCCATCATTTCACTCATACAAGTAAAGAGATGAATTGAAAATAAAACAATCAAACTATGACAATCCAAAGAATCTAGCACAACATATCTTTTAATTTGTCACAAAATTTACCCTTTCTGATACTGGCAACATCACGGTATCAGAAACAGCTAGGGAAATGAATCACGTCAATATTTCTAATGCTCCACAAGGCAGATTACCTTAATTCTCACTCTATTTGGCTTACACACATGATTAAATCTATTTACTGAACCAAATCCACCGACTTTCAAAACCATAACTGATAGTTAAGCACCTAAACTGCCTATTAGAAACAACATTGCCTCCCTTTCTAGTTGCAACCAAAAACCGACTGCCATGATTAACGTTTTGATTGCTTGACGGATGCAATAATGTTCACCATTTCATAACTATGTTTCCGCAAGGTTCTAAATTTTACAGAATTAAAATTTACACCGCTAAAGACAGTGCATCATTCAGATAAACCAACAAAAAAAGTTCTTCGAATACTTTCCAAGAAATCGCCAAGAGAGAATATCAATGCAAAAAATTACAAGCATTAGAAGCTTTTACATAATCCAATTGCTATGTCGGTCGCACAATTTCCTCCCCGACCAGAAAACTCTACCTCGGAATGGTGAGCCTAGGTCAACTAAAAGTCGCTTAGAACGATTTATGAAAAACTAACCGAGGGGAAAAGGCGGCAACTGGAATCCGATGGTGAAATAGGCGAAAGGGAGACACTTTCCTCTCATTAATTAAGAATGGAGGGTTTAGGGGACAAAGAGGGAGAGAGACTTACCGATGGAAATGGGAGGCCGCCGCTCCGACCTTCCTGCTTGGAGTTGCAGTCGGAGATTACCCCAACGAGTATTGTAGGAGGAGACTGTGAGAAGTATCCGCGATCAGGTCTTCCCGAAACTTCCTAATGGAGCCCACATTGACTAGTGACCGCAGCTGAAGTCCTCAAACGCGGTAATCCAACGAAAACATGTTTTAAATACTGTAAATATATTTATAATATTGCCGTTAATAGAAATGTCGCTCCTTATTTGCACAGTTATCATTCGACTGTATTCTATCAAATCATGAAGTAAGCCGAATACGGATAATTTTATTAACTCGATTTATAAACGAGTCGAATATTTAAATAAGACGAATACACATAATTTAAACTCGATTTATAAATAAGTCGAGTACGAAGAAATAAATATTTGTTCGTTCATATTTGACTTATTTTAAATTGAAATAGTCAAATAATCAAATAATAATATTTATTTATATTTTTTAATATTATTTTCTTGTATTATATTTAAAAAAATATTGATAAGAGATTTGGGTAGTATAAATATAAAAAAAAAAAGATGTTTAGGTGTTAGATATGTAAATATGTAAGATTGGCAGGTACGCATGTAAAGGCCCACAAAATGAAAAATTGAGGCTGATTCATATCTCACCGACAATTTCACAATTTAGGAGAGTATTTCTTATAGTCATAGAAATGTTTAAATGTAAGAAAATCCATCTTTTGAGCACAATAATAGTGTAGATTGATTTAAACTTTTAGTTATAGAGCTGCAATTCGAGTTAAGTATGAGTTTAATTCAAACATTTGAACAATTCGAACAGTTCAAGTTAAATTCAAACGAACATGAACATATATTTCAAGAGCAATTTCGAATACCAGTCTATTTCAAACACAAACAATTTAAATGAGTCGAACACAAACGGGAGCTCAGCTCGCTCATGTTAGACTTATTTGCTGCATAAGAATTAAGTGGTATATATATAAATCTCTCAAAAGTTTTAATAACACTTTTAATAAGAAACAAAAATTTTTGAGTGTATAAATATAAAAAGAAAGACCTACATTCTAGCTGTTAAATATGTAAATATGAGAATTAGGTGATTATGGTCACAAAGAAGGTTGAAAGAAATTTCACCTGGAAAGTTCTGGTGACTGTTGGGCAATTTTAGTTTTTCATCGAGGGAGTCCTCCTTTTCTTTCTCGGGGAAGTTTTCCTCGTATAGAATATATTGATTTGGTGTTTCAGGTGTAGTTGGTTTGTTTATGGCAAACTCTTTTTTTTTTTAATGTCAGACACCTGATTTTAAGCCTATTTTAGAAGAATTGAAAGATATTTTCATTTGGGTTAGTTTGCCTATCCCTTTTGTGTGTTATTGGATGGAGACAGACATTTTGAAACTTGTCAGTATTTTAGGTTTTCACTATTTGCTAATTCTTCAACTTTTGCTTGTGTTAATATTCAAGTGAATATTGATTTTACTTTTCCTGAGTTTATTTCTTTAAATCTGAATGGTCATGAAATTATGCAGTATGCTGTTTATGAATGCAGACCTAATATATGTAAACATGTTTTACTTTTGGGCATGATTTTGAGCGTTGCCCCAAAAATATTTCTTTTTCTCGAGTGAATGTGAATCCTGCCTTTAGGGCGATAATAACAACATAATCCTCTTTTTGTGGATTATGTTGTTATTGCTCCTTCTGTAATATTTGTTTCTAATATTTTAAGTATTGTGTCTCCAAATCTTAATATCTTTGTGAATATATATATATGAAAGTCACATAAAGATTGGAGGAACACCATGAAATTTTTTCTATTAATGATATTTATCTTATTACTTTGCATAAATATAGTAACGATCAAAATTCATAATGTCTACTGATTCGTAATAAATGGTCATAAGGATTTACATCGTGATAATGTTAATGATAATGATAATCTGAATGTTCCTGTGAGTTTGCCTATTACTTTTATGAAATTAGCAGCTTATGTTTTTGATTTAATGTTAAATATTTGGGTGTGATGCACATAATAATAAAATTTAGATGTTAAATTTATAAATACATAAAAGTTGTGTGGTATGTATGTAAATTTCTGCAAAAAAATAATTTATTTAAAAGAAAACTGTAAATATGACAAAAGTTTCAATCAATTCTTTAAGAAGAAGGCATAGGTTTATGTCTGTGTCTTTATCTTTACAAGAATGAGTGCGGTGATTGGTATTTAAAATAGAAGGTTAGAAGAAGCATAAAGCAAGAGTTGCAAGTAAAATTTGTTCGTTTCTTAGGTTCAATTAAGGCGGTGAATAAAGGAATATATTCTAGAAGATGCGTGACATATTTTCTCATAAAATAGCAAAAGTTGATGTGATTTATAACTGATATAAATATAAATATATAATAGGACAATAATACAATTATGCTTCATCATTATTTGGGCTTGCCTTGCAGAGATAGTCAGGGTCAATTACACATTAATATTAGTTTAAGGTTCATTCTGTCGTGCACCGCACCGCGGTTTTATGTGTATAAATAATAGCTTTTTTTTTTAAGTTGTTGAAATTTATGTTTTCATTCATATTGATCCTAGCTAGATGTGATAGCAGCTTTATAGCTACGATCTGGCTTAAAAATAATAATAATTGGAATTGCCACCACAATTTTTTTAACATCCGATTATTCTTCAGCAACTTAAAACAAATTCAAAGAGCGGTATTTTATCATGTACGTGTTGGTGTGACCTATTTATATTAATGTAAATGTGATTAGAATTCTTTTGGGCGTATGATCCCGAATAATTCGTGAACTCGTACAATCCGGAAGAGACATTGTGAAAGAAGTGGGAAGAAACTTTTGCATGTTTTAGAGAGAGTGTCACTGTTCTATCCGGCTGCGACATGGAGGGAAGTTGGGGGGGGGGGGGGGGGGGGGGGGGTGAGAGCCAGAGCAGAACCCTATCTTTCACACTTTGCTTCCTTTTTATACACCATAAAACTCAAGTAACCATGAGGAGGTCTAAAGAATAAATCAAATGTCATTTCGTAAGCTGTATTGTATATATCCTAGATAGACTTGATGTTGATAAGATATTTAGCATGAATATCAAGAGGTTAATAAAAGGTGATGATGGAGTGCATTTCTCTTCCTTCTTCCTTAAAAATATATTCTCCATACTCAGTGCAACAAACAAGTGGCTACCGACAAGTTTGTAAGAAGAACTTGAGAAATGTGAACGAACTTACCTGGAAGAACTCGGTTGTGAACCCGGTCATATGAACTCACTTGAAGTCTGATGAGCTTCGGAGATACTCCTGAGCTTCTTCTAGATAACATGAAGTTTTGTGGCTCGTCACCTCCAAAGATTAGACTAACGAGTAATATTGGCATGATCATAATCAAATCATCAAGTGCATGTCCAGGTGACTCGTTCCCTTTAAGCTAATGAGAAGTGCATGGCCAGTGGGCTCGAACCTTAAGGCCCATGACACTCATCAAGTATTTTGGCTTCTTTGTTGTTTAAGGAAATTTATTTTTGATTTAAACATCCATTAAAGTACATCAGTGTGTTGGGCCCCACCAAATTAATATATTTGATTTGGTTTTACACATAAAAAAAAAAACTTCAAATATGAAATAAGCTCAAATAAATAAAAATGCTGAAGGAAGACACAATGTAACTAATTGTTTAACTGTTCAGCTTGGATGGCAACTGTGCAATAACGAAAACTTCAAATGGGTTAAGATTTGAAGGGGAGCACTGCTGATATGTATGTTCTTCTCGTAAGAACCTTAAGTTGGTTGACAAATACTCTTGGTGTGTAGCAGTATCTTGGGGCTAGTAGGCTTACCGAGTAGACAATTTCTTATTTTTCATAGGAGAGTTCAGTAGATCATTATGAGGACAAAGTAAGAACTTGATGAGAAGCAACATTGATTCAACACTCAAATTTTGTCACCAAGAAAAAAAAGAGAAGATTTTGAGTTTTTAATTTATAGAGAATGATAATGAGAGTAGAAGGAGTTGTTTGATTCCCTTCAATAGTAGTGTAAAGTAAAAAAAATACATGAATTTTTAAGGCCATAGAGTTTAGTCTGAGGAAAATGAAATGTGGTGTACAAAAAATAGTGTATTTTGAATCAATGGAATTGGTTGATTTTTAAATATATTGTAAATTGCATCCTCTTGCTCTCATCATCTTCTGTTGGACCCCCTCAATCATTGTTGGCCCGTTACCACCACTGTTGGCCGCCTACTATAGCGGTTGGCAATTGTCGGTCACTGCCGCTACCAATTGCCAATCGTCGCCATTAGCAAATCCGTTGGTAACTGTCGGTCACTGCCGCTACCATTTGCCAATCATTGCCATTGCCAACTATTTATCGTAACCGCCGTGTATTGCTCGCCTCGCATTGTTGTGCACCTGTCTCCCACCACAGGCGCAACAACCACCAGTCGCCACCGTTGCTATCGCTTAACATATTTTATATTGATTTCAGTTTCCTTAACCAAACACAAAATATAAAAAAAATAATATTTATTTTGCACCAAACCAAATAACTTAAAAATCTTTCAATACATTTCAATTACGGCGTATTCCTTTCACGCGTTCTTGTTTTAGCTACCGAAATAATTTGTTAATCACGAAAAATCCTGTAATGCTATAAGTTCAACTATCACTATATACTAATGTAATCCACTTCACAACACAGAACAAGATGATCAGTATAACAAGGATTAGAATAAATTCAAAATAAAATCCACCCATTAGAATTCTCCTTCATATACATGATACAACTGAATAACAAAAGAACATATCTTTGAAGCCAATGCCATCTGATTGCCTAATCTATGATATCAAAGAAAGAAAAATGAAAAATATAAAGAATTTCACTCCTGTTGCTACTCCTCCAAGTGCCCAAATCTCTGATAATAAAAAACCTCTTAGCCCTTCATGAAATTTCAGGGGCTCAATAACAAAAGAATTTAAAAAAAATCAAAAGAACAAAGTCTCTAGTCTTTTCAAAGAATTAACTATAAGCTTAATCCTGTTAAAAATAAAAGAAAAATAATCTTCTATGATCAAGGAAATATTTTGAAGGAAGCATCTCTCTCCTCCAATCTCCATGGAAGCCCAAGCTGAAATTATATACAAAGACTGGTCCATTCATTCAAGTGTAAGCCCAAATGCAATTTCTCTATGTTTATCCACATAATCTCACTACCATACATCTTGAGCAGCATCTTACTTTGAATATTCTCCCTCTCATTAAACTCAACACATCTGAATCCACCCTCCTCGATCATTCCTCTACACCAGTCTTTTGGGATGGAATATATAATAAAAGCTTCGATTGGTTGACAATCGAAATCAATCTAGAAAATAGGAACACCGATTCGAAAAATTTAAAATGAAAGAAATCGAACAGAAAAACAACACAGCATAGTAGTACTTGAGAGCATTAGCAAACCTCTTCTCCCATGTCAGCTCATATGTTATGCTAAGATAGAGTTACTGATAAAGAAGTTGTCATAGGAGGTGGCATGCCTGCAACATGTGCAAAGGTTATGATTTTTGTGGAGGTCAGCTTGAGAAAGGCATCATCAACAAGGCAGCTTAGATTCGGATGGATGATAATCTTAGTGTTTGTGTTGAAGAGATAATTTTGAAAGGGATGGAACCTATCAAAGATATCGACGTGGAAGAAACTTATGTTGAAGTTAATAACCGCAAGATTTGAATGAGGGTTCCAGATAAAGAAAATTTATTCTGAGATGATTATACATGCGACAAAGTCATTTGAAGAAGAGTTCAAGATGACATTTCTGTTAGCTGGAGCTCGATAACTCTCGATCCCGCCTTCCTTTTCGCGAATCATCGCCAGAGCTCCCTGTTCCCATCGCGAAAGATCACGCCACTTCTGCACTCGCCCGATCACGAAATGTTGCGAACCACTCCCGCCAACTCCTGCTCACATTCGCGAATCGACACTCCTCTCTTCCTGTTCACGATAAAAAAGTTCACACGACTCTCCTTTGGTTTGTATGAGAAGTCACGGTATTCTTCTTCGGTTTTCCTCAGGATAGAGGAAGGAAGGTGCAAGAAGTAGTTCATTGCGGTGAAGGAAGAAGAAAGAAGAAGAAGAATATTGTTTTCCTTTGGCTTCTTCTTGGTGACTTATGACAGAAGAGAAATTGGGTTTATTTCTCTTATAAGTTTATCTTCTTTGATGTATCTCAGTGTAGAGAGAGAAGAACAGAGAGAGAAGAAGAGAGAGCAACGAAGTGAGAATAAGAGATTCCTTTTGTAAGTCGAGGTGATCGACTGGTGTAAATTCCTTAAATAGTAAAATCCTCTGCAACTTCGTGGACGTAGGTAATTTGTCGAACCACATAAATCTGTGTGTTCCGCTGTGGTGTTACTGTTCTCTGGAGTGAAATTTTTTCTTTCTATTTTTCTTTTCGTCGATTGTTCTCCTGTTTGATTTTATTTCTATATACCACAACAACTTGTCTAGTATATAAATTTCACAACAACTGGTATCAGAGCTAAGTTCGAATTTAAAGAAGAATGATGGTTGCAGATGAAGTGAATGTTTCAGAGATTGAGAAATTTGATGGCACATATTTTGGTTATAGGAGGATGCAGATAGAAGATTATCTTTATGGGAAGAAATTGCATCTTTCTTTATTGGGGAAAATACTTGAAAAGATGGATGAGGCTGAAATTTGTTGGATCGATAAGTTATGGGAGTTATTCGATTGAACCTATCAAGGTCCGCTGCACACATCATCGTCAATGAAAGGACGACTGCAGATCTCATGACAGTCTTATATGTATGAAAAGCCATCGGCGAATAATAATGTACACTTGATGAAGAAGTTATTCAATTTAAAGATGGCGAAATGTGTTTCTGTTGCTCAACACCTGAATTATTTCAATACTATCACAAATCAATTGTCTTCTGTGGAAATTGATTTTGATGATGAGATATGTGCACGGATCTTGTTGGCTTCATTGTCAGATAGTTGGAAAGCCATGAGGATAGCAGTTAGCAGTTTTTCGGGTAAATCTAAATTGAAATACGATGATATTCGTGATTTGATTTTGACTGAGGAAGTTCGCCAGAAAGATCCTGACAAGGTCTCAAGTTCGAGTTCGACACTGAATGTTGATTTCAGACGGAGATGACATGACGGGGACTCAAATATAGGGAGATTAAAATCAAAGTTTAGTAAGCAAGTTTAGTAAGCAAAAACCCTGCTGGAATTGTGGCAAGGCTGGCCACATAAAGAGGAATTGCAGGAATTCTAAGAAGATGGAGAATGATAGCGTAAATGTGGTATCTGAAGAATCACAGAATGCACTATTGCTGACAGTTCATAGTTCTGTTGAAGACTTGATATTGTATTCAGGGACTTTGAATATGGTAGGAAATCTACTATATGCCACAGTGCAGTGTAGTGATGGAAGTGAAGAAGAGAATAGGTCTGAGACACCCATTTCTATTGTTCCAAAGACAGATGTTGGAGAACCACAAAACTATGAAGAAATATTGCAAGATGAAAGTTCGAGCAAGTGAAAGCTGACAGAACTTCTACCAAGGAAGAAGACGTTGCACAACAAGTGGGTGTACCAGGTGAAGACTGAGTGTGATGTTAGTAAGAGGTGCAAAGCTATACTTGTTGAAAAAGGCTTTCAGCAGAGGCAAGATGTTGCCCATACAGTGGGAGTTGTAAGCATAGATAAGAGTTACCTAGGAAATAACTTGGAGATACAAAGCTACGTGGATTCTGCTGATATGTTGATTGAGGGTGTTACTCTTGAGAAACTGAAGTTGTGCACAACTTCAGTTGGTCTTCTGGAGTGAAGTCAGGGCTTTGAGTTGTAGAGGTGGAGAATTCAAGTTGGAGGATTCATGTTTGAAAAAAAGGGCGACACCGCCGGTGGAGGAGATCAGTTCGAGGAAAGTTCGAGGAAGGAGATGTATGTTGTAGCATGTGTATCGATCTCCAAGTGGGAGATTTGTTAGCTGAAGCTCGATAACTCCCGATCCTGCCTTCCGTTTCGCAAATCGGCGCCAGAGCTCCCTGTGCCCGATCGCGAAAGATCGCGCCACTTCTGCCTGCGCCCGATCGAGAAATGTCGCGAACCTCTCCCGCCAACTCCCACCCACGTTCGCGAATCGACGCTTCTCTTTTCCTATTCGCGATAAAAAAGTTTACACGACTCTCCTTCGATTTGTATGAGAAGTCACGGTGTTCTTCTTCCGT